AAAAGCACCAGCTGCTCAGGGTGCAAGAACACCCAAGAAAGGTGCAAAAAACTGCCTGGGGATTCCCTCAGGCAAAGTAGGGAGAGCAGGAAACCTGCTGTATCAATCTCAAAGCCCCCAAACCCTGTGGTTTAGCCAAGCTGGCTGGATGTCCTCTTTATTCCAGCCTCTCAAACCTCCACCCTGCAAGCCAAGATGGGGGGGAAAGGAAAAATGTTGCCTTTTCTTTTCTCTGTTGGTCCCTACAAACTGATCCTTGTCAAAAAAAAGCTGTGGGGACACAGGGAGTGTGAGAGGTCTTGTGTCAGCTCCATGCCAAGGCCTTCCTTCAGCAGCTGGAGGCTGGATTTCCTTCCCCAAAGTCCTGTCTGCTTTGGGGCAGCTCCTCGTGGCCAAACTGCTGGCTCAGCAGAGCCAAACCAGCTCCCAAGCACATTCCTACTGCTCTTTTTCATCCTGCTCTCCTGGAAAAAGGGAAACCTGGGTTTGTGGTCACCACATTGGGCCACAGGGTCACTGCCTGGCTGGGGGCAAGTCACCCAATCCCTCTGTCCTTGGGTTTGCCACCTATAAAAGGGGGATAATAACAGTGCTGGGCTTTGCAGGGGTGAGCTGAGGACAACCTGCCTGTTCTTTGAGCAGGGTGTTTAGAGGGGAACTTCAAAGTGAAGCTAATAAACACCAGAACACAAGTCACCCTCACAAAGCTCTGCCCGTGCATGTAGGGTGGCTTGGGAAAACCATTCCTGTTTGGGACATTTTCCCAGTGTTACCTGCAGCTCTCAGGATGAGAGGGAAGCTGAAACAGCTCCTCTGCTCGGGGCTGGTGGGGTGGGAAGAGCCACTTTTGGAGCTACATCTTGAGGTGACAATTGCCTGGCATTGATTCTAAGTGTTTCCCACCCAAAATTAGCCCCAAAACAGCAGCAGAGTTCCCCTGGGAACTGTTGGTGCTGCTCTTTCTTCCCTGAGTGCGATGACACGAGTGGAATTCCCACAAGCCCGAGGGATCAGGCAGAGCCTGGTTGTGCTGAGGCACCACTGGGATCCCCAGGCTATGGAAGAGGCTCCATGGAAGAGGGTGAAGGCTCAAACATCCCCTGCAATGCCCAAAATTCTGGGGGAAGCTCTGGGGCTGGTGGGGGCAGGGATTTCACTTGGCGGGCGCAGAGTACAGATCTTGGGCATCAGGAGGAATGTTGGACACCAGGAGGAATTTCTTGCTGGAAAGGGTGGTCAGGCCTTGGCAGGGGCTGCCCAGGGAGGTTTGGAGTGCCCAGCCCTGGAGGTGTCCCAGGAAGGCCTGGCCGTGGCACTCAGTGCTCTGGGCTGGGGGACAAGGTGGGCATGGGGCACAGGGGGGATCCATGGGCTGGGAGGGCTTTTCCAACCTCAGGGATTGTGTGAGACAGGCACAGATCCTCCCATCAGCTTGGAGGGATCCAGCCTGGGAACAGGATGCCCTGTGGTGACCTAGGGAGGACGCTAAGCCTGGCTTAATTTGCCAGAGCAGGCTGGGCTTTGTCTGCCCTGCCCGGCGTCGTGTGCCAGCCTGGCACAAACTTAGTCCCTGAGCGAGACTCAAAGCAGGGAGTGAATTCCTGCCTCAGCAGCCCTCGTCCTGTTGGCCTCAGAGGAGCTGCTCACCTCCACGAGAGGCTGTTGGCACAGGGGCTGGCACTGCTGGGATGTGGGAAGGGAAGGGAAGGTGGCAGGGGGGTCACGCTGGGCTCCCTCCCCCAGGAGCAGGAGATGTCTGAGGAGCATTAGAAATCAGGACTAAATGACATCAAGGGGATGGATTTGGAAGGGTCTGGTGGCTCTTGGCTCTGCAAGCCCTGGGCTGAGCCTGCTGAAGCTTAAAAATAATCCAAATGCATGAGGTATTTTGCACATCTTGTATGACTCTGCATGTTGGCTTTCCAGTCCAGGGTCAGGAGCCCAAGGCTGGAGGCAGCTTCCAGCTCTGCTCTGCTGACAAATGAAACCTTTGCTCTTGACCAACCAGAATGGCAGATAAAAGTCCTTTTCATCTGTCTTTGCTTCTCCCCTCTTTTTGTTTTGTTTTGTTTTCTTTTTTCTTTTCTTTTCTTTTCTTTTTGCTTTCTTTTTTTTGAAGCCCTAATGGGTCTCTTTAATGACGAAACCACTACTATATAATACGTCCTTTTTATATTTTAATTCCTCCCCCACTCCCCTCGGGATAATTTACAGCCCAGTGTGGAATCTGAGCCCGCTCCAGCCGTGCCAGAGGGCCCTGGCAGCAGGAAGAAAGGCCCAGCCACTGCCATTTGGAACCAGGAGCCGAGTTATAAAATTTAATTTTAGAACTGCAGCTACTGGGAACCGCTTTTAAATGCACATTTTCCTCTTGGTGCATAAAGTGGAGCTGTTGGGGTGGCTTGAAAGAGGGCTCTGTGGAGGAAGGGGCCTACTGGGCTCTCCAGAGGACTTTTGCTGCTTGTTCAGCGTTGGAAGCTGGATTTTTGGGAATGCTGATGGATTCAGTGCTATGGGGGGTGTGGAATAGGGCACGGTGGGTTGGTTTTAGGAGTTTTGTGCCAGTCTTTCTGTGAGCTGAGGGAGGAACAGCACTGGGCACCTCCCTGCAGGGAGGTTGGAGGTGCAAAGGAAGCTGCAGAGGGCAACTCTTCCAACAGGGAAAGGAAAATCAGGAGCAGACAGACATCAGATCATGGTGTTCCACGGAAAGCAGGGATAATACCACCTTCTCATGGAATCATGGAATGGTTTGGGTTGGAAGGAGCCTTAAAGATCATCCAGTGCCACCCCCTGCCATGGGCAGGGACACCTTCCACCAGCCCAGGTTGCTCCAAGCCCCGTCCAACCTGGCCTTGGACACTTCCAG